TAGCCTGAGGGTTTGCCGCGAATGTCATAGCAGAGTTGCATTCTGAGTCCTCGTGTGCTGCGGGTGCCGCAATACTCATCACTTGCCCGTCCCAAGTCTTAATTTACGAGCACAGAACCATGGCGGTGGGAAAGCAAGGGTTGAGCAAATACCCAGCCTATCTCGTCTTCGACTCCTCCTCCACACTCAGCTCAAAGGAACCGACCCGGTTGACATGGCGGGCTGCACAAAGCGACAAAAAGAGAATGGACAATTGCTAGCACTACCCATACCCAATCCACCGGCCTGGACCCGCTGGGGTCTCCAATTCCACATGTCCCAAATGAAACAAACGTGGTGAGCGGTGCCGTTGGGTCTCTTTTCCTTACCTCATCCTGGACAAAGGCTGCAGTAGTGCAGTCGTCGCAAAAGAAACTAAGAATCAAAAAGACTCTCGAATGCAGCTTAATGTGGCATAGCATCTACGGCTGGCTATGTGGCGTCTCGAGCTCGCTGAACTACACCACTTCGATATATCTCCGCCGTCTTAGCTGCATGCATCACCTCAGCTGCGGTGACTATTAACGCAGCTTTGCTGTTGCTATTACTGGCAGCAGCGTCGCAGGCGGGAGCCGGCTCGGTTCTCCTGCATGGCGTGAAGCATTTGGAGACATTTCCGCGGCGTATCAGTTGCCCAAGAGCGTCTTTTTGCCACCCTTCACCTTTAGCTTCACCTGCGTCCCGAGTAATGCACCCCCGTCGTCCCGATACTACTTGCTGGTTGTGGTATGAAGGGACGGCGTTTGTGTTGCAAGATGTCACAAACGAGAACTCGCAGCTGCGGGGGAGTTGTGATAATTCCTTGCATGGATCTGGATTGCAGTGGCTGGCGTCATCCTCAAACGATATAGCTAGTTAGTCCACGGCAGTTCGCCACATGGCGTTGTTTATTTGCTACGCCTTCCCTCTCTGCCCTTTTCTTTTTTCCTCTTTGAATCACGATGGTGCACCGGAACATGGAAGAAACAAGCCGAGTCAATGGCTCAATGGGCCTGGCCACGTCCTGGCGAATCACATTGCACGAGACCGCCAGGGAAGACCAAAAGGGTCGCACTGCCCGTGGGACCAGGGGAGCTGGGCAGGGGATCATTTGTCGAACGATATTCTGCAAGGCACCTGCCTACGCTTGTGACGACAATGCAGAGATTTGCATACCTAGTCTCCGGATAGACTACAGTAAGCGCCTGAGTGTGCGTCCTGGTGCATTCGTCATGATGCAACATTGCTGGAAGCTTCTTGGCATTCCAACAAGCAGGAAACAGCTTGGCCGTTGAATATTGGCCGACTACATTAGCCGATGATCTTTTCGTTTGCAGCAGCAAATCCTGCTACTCGCGCCGCCGCCGAAAGCCGCAGGACAGAATATCTTTCCTTCAGTTTACATCATTAGGCTATGATTCGCCGTCGCGCCTTAAACGAGGCACTAGAACCGCCTTGATTGACTCGTGAGCCAAAGCTGAGCAAATGCTATAAACGACACGATGCCTGATATAATCCAAGTCGTCCACGGCGCAACACCCCATACTTAGGTTCGCCTATTCTAGGGTAGCAGCGTCTGCGAAGCGACAGACGACTTGCATGTTCCAGACCACATCGCCGCGCTCTTGGACAAGAAGCATAGGTCGAAAGGAAGCGCTAGGCGCGTTTACAAAACTCCCCGGTGGCCGGGGTTTAGGCAGCGATATACTTGTGAAGGTCTCTCCAACACATTTCTGCACGTCGGACCCAAGCGGCGTTAACTCTACCGTGACATCGGCTTCAACGCCTCCCACGGCCGACGGCATATCGGTCCGGTGGGTTCTCCTAACTGCCGTAGGCAGCGAAGAGACACTAGGTTGTCTATCAAACTTCATATCCCCCACTTCATCTCATGGCAGTAGAATGATGTGTCATTTAACCCGGGCATGACTCGCCGTGGCAGAAATCAACCATTCTCTCAGCAAGGGGATGAGCGCTATCCTCCCAACTCTTCTACTAGCCCCCCAATTCGAACACGGCCAGCGGGGGAAGAAGAGAAAACAGGCACGGACTGATCCGTCTGGCCGAGTTCATGAATTTCCAACTGGCTTCAAGTTACGCCACACCCGCTTGGCGTCCCGCCCGGCTCCAATATCTTCAAGCCACTGTCCACAAGCTGAGGTAGACTGAAACGAGTTGATTGTAAACAGGGACTCCGGGTCGTGTGAAGAGCTGAAGTCAAAACGATTCCTCTGATCTCCCTGCTCTCGATACGGCTTATATGTCGTCAACTGACTACCAGCCACTAGTTCCAGTGTTTTTGCAGGCAGCTAGCCATCTACGGGTACGAAGAAGGCCCCTTTGCTTCAGGTTGCTCAATCGAACAGTGACTACTATCGAAACGGGAACGTGCTAAAAAGCTCTCTATCTGCAATTGGAAGACTCGAGAGCAAGATCATCTGGGCTAACAGTAACTACAAGCTATTCCGTCGCTTGTACTACCCAGATGTGGCGCCAGCTAACCTAGGAGAGGTTACAGCATTATCGCTTGATGTAGTACTCCGTATATGCTGAGAATGGACCACGCCGCGATGACACCCATAGCGGAAGTTTCCGACCATTCAGGTCAACTTATTTTCAGACGAGAGCGCCGACTATCGCTAAGGTACGTAAACGACCAGAAAGCAAATTTGTTGCCGCCAAGAGCGCCAATATGAGACCGCCCTGTCTAGCTGCTGTGAAGGTAGGATAATGGCCGACCTTCTTCGATTGGCCTAAAGTCTCGAGCATGGTTCAACTAGAGCTGGGATGATCCTCGTACGTACCCTACTGGTGTCCTAGGTTGATGGTTCCTGGCCAAACATTTACGGCGAGGCTTACCATGATTTACTTGCAACATATGCCGGGTAATAAATCCTCCTATTGGACGAACATTTCTCCTGCGACTTACATAGCCAACCTAGCTGATATATGATCAACGAAAAGGATTCGCAGAAGTCAGTGCTATGCTGGGTTCTCGAACGGTCTGAAAATGCGCGTTGGGTTTGCATGGCACAAGGATCCAGTATGCATCGAATTAAATCCCTTGGATGCTGATGAGAAGGAGCAATTAGGTCTGCTGGATTGGCCCCCGTGACAGGATGACAATCCTTCCGGATCTCTTCCGTAGGTTTTGTCGCTATTTTGACCCTTTCAAGGAAGATTGTAACATCAAAGGCACTGGATGAGAGTATGGGCCTATTTTTGCGGGTACGAAAAATATGTTGAGAGTCGCCACCGGAAGTGAAGTCATCGCGTTTCACACTCTAGGAGAAATGTTTCTTTCACGTTTCGGTATCATGAGTAGTACTTGCAAAACTACACTTTGAGGCACCTATTTTTAGGTACTCGGGCAGAAAAAATGGGGATTGATTTATGAGCGTAAAGAGCAATAAGAAAATGCTTCAACTACTTCGCACCATTACATATTTTATTTACTCACGCATCACGCGGGTGTTGCTTGTGTGTCAATCTAGCGGTGTACTTTTATCACGCATTGAATAGGACACACGGTATGCACGTTACATCACAGGCGTCTGTTGTGTGACTTTGGAAAGGATCCGTGACTGCAACCCTTGCGGAAAGAAAAAAGAAAGAAACAAATGTGAGAAGGATTTAGGAAATGATGTGATGTGACGTTTCCATTTTTCTGTTTCTGTTTCTGCTCGCCTTTTTCTCTTTTTCTGTACCTTTTGGCTATGAATTATAGGATGGGAAAGGAGAAGGAGGTCCTTATGTTTCTTTTTTATCTGTTCCGGATATATTAAGGAGACTTTCTTTTTGTCACATCTGATAGTGCCGTGCCCAAAAAAGAAAAAAGAAAAAAAGAAACGCCCAAAGGGTAAAACGATAAAAAGGAAAGAAAATAAAAGAAAAGAACACAGAAAGCTAATCATAGGTAGTAGTTTTCTCACTATGGGATACTACTTTGTATTATCCCGTATGGCATGTGAAAATGAATAATGAGACGCATACTGTATCAACACTTGTTGACCCCAAATGGCTTCTGCGTAAACCCCTTTATCAGCAATTTTGGACTATTTTTGCAAAGATCCCGCCATGTCTTCCAGTGACGATCTCATGGCTTGGTTTTGTGATGGATTCGTGTTCGTCGCTCACTTATATCTATGGCGGCAGCTGGTCTTTGCTTCGTTCAGTTGATACACCGTCTTAGTGCGAGGTAGAAAAAGGTTGTAATAGGAAAAGTGAGAAAAAGAGTAGCAGAAAAGAAAAGAAGGTAAAATAGTATAGTAGGACTGTTATCTGATAGATGCTGTTGCGCGATACTTTTTGATGGACCTATGTCTATATCCCCCCCCAAAAAAAAAATTGGGTTACACTCAGTTGAATTAGAAAATGAGGTAGTTCAAATAGAAGACTCCTTTTCACTCACGGCCAAGTCAGTCAGTTATTCAAGGATGAGTACGGAGTTACAGATGCATAAGCACGGCTATCTTAGAGAGAGAGAGGGAGGGCAGAGACTTTGGTTTGAAACAGGGTGATACAAATTATAACTCTATTCTTTCTGAAGTTTTCATAAAAGGTATCAGCTACTGAAATACTTTTTCGATGCAACCGCTTGGTAGTCTGATGATTCTTATTCACTTCGTTGTCCTCTTTCTATCCTCAACATTGATTGCTGTAGACCCACCTAGAACAAAACTCCCACATACCCAGTTTGATACCAATTGTCGATGCCGTTGATGAATATACATATGCTCGACAGAAGAGCTTTGGGGCTATCCAATGGCACACGCCAGGCTCATCTCTCCATAGAAGTAACGCTCTGGAGACGTATTTGAACATCCCCTATAATAGGCCATAGCCCGAGCAACACAGAATGTGCCGACACATAGTATGCAGACAAATGTCCCGCGTATCCAAGAAGAGCTGATTGATTATGAACGTTGTGATGCTCCGGGTATCACTACACGCATCTAACAAAAAAGCACCATCCCGAAACCTCATTTCTTAAAAAATCCAGTTCCAGATTTGGCGGCAGGCCGGTTTCGCTTCAAGAGCAAGTCCTTGGAAGACTTGGTATGTTTCTTGAGTTTCGGTGTCATTCTTTCGTCCGTCTTCTTAGCCACCCGGTATACTGTAGAGTTCAAGACCTCGTCCTTGGGCCCAGCATCCAGGCGTGTAAGCCTCTTCTCTACTCCGGAAACCTTTCGCCTCTTCGGCCCTGAAACAGCATCGGCAGCATCTTCGTCCTCATCTTCGCTTGAAGAATCTTCCAAGAACTCGGCGGGGAGAACGGCAGGGATGTCAGATTTCTGCACTCGCTTCCTTCCGCTGCTGGCTTCGGATTTTTTGCTTTGTGATTTAGTGACGGATGCCTCTTCCTTGGCCTCATCAATCTTCTTTCGCTCCTCGGCTTGTTTCTTGAGAAGCTCATCACGCAATTGACGCTTGCGCTTTTGTGTAGCAGCTTGTCTGGTAGGATAGTTAGACAAAACAGGAACCTAAAACCTGGTAAGTGGCAACAGAGGAACATACTCTTTGGCTGCCTGTTGAGCAACTTGTGCGGATTTCTTGATCTGTTTAGCCACCTTGGTCGTAGACACAGCCTCAGGAGCTTCATCATCACTATCCTCCTCTTCCTCCTCTTCCTCGTCCTCAACTGCATCCGCTGTTCCAGCAATTGGATTTAATGATGACTCAAGAGGAGCCTTTGCTTCATCTTCATCCTCATCGTCAAAGACTTTGAGAGTGCCCTTGGTTGGCATAGGCACTTCTTCCTCTTCCTTCTCTCTCACTGGCAGCTTCTGCGCGGGGCTTGATTTCGCACTTGATTTCTTTGTGGCACTCGCATCTGATTTTACAGGCGTGTCTTGCATAGCCGCCCTTCTCCTAGTTTGAACGGGCATGTTGGTGATGAGATCCGGCGCTGTGAAAAATTCTCTTGAGATTGGCGTCTACTTCGACACGTCGTATACCGCGAATTGCTTGGCGAATCACCCCAATTTCTTCAAATTATGATTATGAATTGGAACAAAAAGCTTCTTTTCTCTTCAGATAGCTTGTTCCTTTATTTCCGAGCAGGCGTTTTCTTTTGCTTCTTCTCTGGTGTAGTCGATTGCGATTTGCTTGAGGTTCGAGACTCAAAAAAATTTCGGTGGGGCCTATGGGCGAGATGGCCGCCGAACTGCTAGCGCGTGATTGGCCGGCCGCTTAAACAAACAAGGTACGTCCAAGAGTAGCCTTTCAACTGCCGTCTCAGCCAGATCATCAGCCACTGATTCATGAACCACCAACGAGGATATTGCACTCGGGATGCTTACGAGCCAACAAGATATTGATTTTTATACATTTTACAATTTCTTTTCCATTGCAGTCACCAGCTTCTGCGAGGCTTGTCGAAAACGGTGAAGTGCTCACTGCAATTTGCTATTCCTGCTTTCTTCATGCGACTCTCTGGGTAGCTACTTCAGAAAAGATACACTTCTACTTCCAACCTAGTACTTTCTGATATCATGTCTACTTGCAGCTATTGCAAAGCTATACGGCCCCTAATAGCTTCAGCGCGGTCATTAAGAATCACCCCCGCAGCGCATTCTATCAGGCCACAAGCTTCGATAGTTGACAGCCATGGGCAAGTCCGGCATTATGCGGTACCAAAGATGAAGAGAGTCGGCCCGTCGCCTCTTGAAGTGTTTAACTTGGCTGAGATCCCAATGTCGTCTTTCATTGCCGTCATCGAGAGAAACGGAGAGGCCTTTAAGCGAGCCTCCCCTGCTGAGTATTATGATTGCGTCAAAAAATTCCACGACGCAATCAGTCGGGGCTCAGATCCATGGTCCGTGGCATTGACAGGCAGTATGTATCACATTAATTCTAACCCATCTCCTCTGTGTCATTGATTACTAACTCATCTTGAAGAAGACGGCTTCTCCGTTGAGGTAATCCACGACGCAGCTTGTATCATGCGACAAGTTCGTGGTCCCCGGAGCGCAGACGCATTCTCAAGCGCGCTTTGGGCAGCAGCCTCAGACGCTGGTTATCGGCCCTCCATACTGTCACTTGCGAGGCATCTTGTGCGGTCTGGTGCTTACGGACGCGTCCCCCAGCTCCGAAAGGTCGAGGCGCGATTCAAGCAACTCGTCTCGACAGCAAGAGACGCTGATGCTCTTACTGTGGAAGGCGAACTTCAGTACGAGCAGGGGAACTACGAAGCTGCAATCAGAGCGCTGCGACGGGCGCTGCAGGTAGGGACCCCAGACTTTGAATGGAAGCATAGCTGTCAACTCTGCGTGGGCAAATCATTGGTCAAAACGAACCAGCATGAAGAGGCTCGGGCATTATTTGAGTCGCTGTCCGGCATCGGCTTTGTTGAGGCGGACGTCGAGCTTGGCAAATTGCTTCGCGTAAGCGACAAGGATGCTGCAGAAAGGCACCTGTTCACTGCCGCGTCCAATGGGAGGGGCGACATGTTCAGCTTACTGTCGGAAATTGCCCTTGAGAAGGCTGCAGATGCTGGAGACGACAAGGCATCAAAAGAGGAATCCTTACGATGGGCCAAGGAGTGGTCAAAATTGGCGGACCCGCGCACAGAATACTGACAATGCAAATCCTAACAACACCGCCACAGACTCAAGGGTGGCGGTGAGAACGATGCGCGCTGTTGACCCAAGCTTTGAGTATCCGTGCAATTACTCCCGGCCCAAGGGTACTCAGATACGTGTAAGATAAGCATCTACTCTGAGTGCACTTCCGTACCATGTGCAATGGCGTGCGACACCCTGATCGACGCGAGATCCGACGCTTTGGTAGGACCATGGCACGGAGCGACGGCAAGACCTTGAAACGATGCAGGGAGGGCGCAGATGGTTGATCCCTCTTTGGATAAAATTGACGAACGTCCGTTTTCGCGAGCAAACAATTTGATGCCAGAATAATTCCGAACCAAATATCCCGCCGTCTTTCAAGTTTTCGGTTCTGGATCTCTGAATTGTGAGGACAAAGAAAAAGGGGCATCTCAAGATTATCAGGACGAAAGGTGCCGACTGAATGATTCCATACAGTTTCATTTATATGGGAGATTATTTGTATATAAGAAGATGTTATATCTATACGAGACTTCACTTGTGCGTTCGACGATCATTTGTCTATGTGAAACATGGAGAGCAGGGCATATAGATTTGGTGAATGCTGCAGGTAGGGCTATTGTAGCTGATCAAACCGCTGAACCAACACCTTGTAGAAGTAGAAGAGCTGTATTGCGTCACGCATGGCGATTTGTATTGGAATTCTGTACTTCGTTACTGGTGCTGGGAGGTAGTTCTTAGTTCTTCTGGGGACAGCGACAAGTGGCTAGTAACATTCCAAGTACACCCGTCTTCTTCAACAAGGCACTCAGAAGAAAAACTATCGGCGGATGTATCTCTTCCATCACCATTTGAAACCTTATGTATAGTCTAAATCTCGATGTTACCTAGGTAGTTGAAAGCCTAAAAGACAGTCCAAGATAGCGAGAGTGGCGGAGAACACCGTGCTCAGAAGTGAGCTGTAAGCTGCATATGTCATCGCTTAGAGCACGCACGGGCTCTTTTGAATACGGGTATGCTACCAAGAATAGAAAGGGTTATTCTGAATGCAGAAGAGGTGAGAGCTTCTAGAATCTAGGTTGAAGAAGGGGATAGCTTCAGTGGGTGGATTAAAGCTCATGGGCTGGATGCGTAGGTCGGGGTGTTACAAATAGCTGACGTTACACATTTGATGATTTACCTTCTGTTGTGGCTTGTCGTCTAATTATACTCGTAGAGCCTTTTTTGAGTACACGGCTTCCATGTTGAACGAGCTGCTGGACCGTGCTGGCATAGCTCTCAATGTTGGTTCAAATCCATCTCTAGAGTTCTATGTACATGTATGTACCAAGAGGATCCCTCTCACAATTTAAGCTTCTTGTCAACATCCAGAGGCTAAGCAAGCCACGACTGTCAACTATATCTTCATCTGTCCGTTTTTTTTCCCGCGCCGTTTGGCGGTCTGCGTGCACTTCTGTAGCCTCTCGTGGTTGAGCCACTTACACATAGCGCTGGAATGTCGATCTCGCTACGAGAGGCCATCCACAGGTGCTGATGTACATGTACGTCACATGCCACGAGCAAACTGCATGCATCATTTTTAAAAATAGACGTCCGCGGTACGCACTCGATATACATGTACAGTAATGGAAGCAATGCTGAGTCCTTGGAATCATCACCGTGCGTAGCTAGGTGCTGCTATTGCTGAATCATGTAAGATTCTAGACTACGTACTACTGCTGATGGCAACGCATAAAGTACTCATATAAATACGTCACGACTCTACCAAGCAACTTCACAGAGCTACTAGTAGTCCTTCCCCTGCTGCTCAGACTACTACTTGTACATGTTCAGCTGGCTAGGATAGCGGCAAGTTCCAGTCCCCTGTTTGCGCTCTTTGCTGCCTGTGCGGCTGCTGGTATGGAGTCGGTTACAAGTCCAAGTAAGCTGAGCTGCAAGGGGCTCAAGCCACTACGCCGCTCCACTTGGCAGACAAGTCCTACAGTAGGCTCAGGTACGCGGCATAGGCCCCTTGCCCGAAGCAGCAGTATTCCTGCATGTACGGAGCATTGCTCGTATAAGAGTAAAGTGCCGATGTTGCTGACTTGAACTGGCACGCGATGGGTGCTATACTGTGCTTGTAAGTGCTGGTAAAGTTGTAGAATATCTGCATGTGCAAGCATGTGCAAGTATCGGCCCGGCAAACAAAGCAATATAGTAGTACTTGTAGCTTGTACTATCCTGTGGTTGTATATGAGAAGAACCGCTCCTAGCAGTACCTACCTTACTTGGATTACTCGCTGTGGGATCCCCTTGCAAGCTTACCAATACCCAGTCAATCAATGCATGCAGCAGTACTTCGTATGTAGGCACACGCATAGGAGAAATTGCATGCATGCACGCGACCAGCGGTACGAGTAAGAAGCATCGTATCGAATGCAGGTACCGATGGGCCTCGCCTCGCCCTGCAGAAGCGAGAAACATCGATTCTTCAACACAACAGGCCGTGTCGCAGCCACTCCCACACGTGGCTGAGGTCTAAACGAGATTCATTCTGGGGAATGAGTTCAGTCCCGTGCCGTACTCCAGATAGTTTGCATTGTGAGACTGCCGAGCCCGCGCCTGAGCCCGCGCTCGCCGTCATCATGAGGTCTGCAATCAAAAAGTCTTGTTCTTTTGGCCGTCCAGCCGCAGAAACGGGCAAAGTGCGAGCCAAAAGGGGGAACCAAGCTCTCCACCGAGGCGCCGGCAGAGTTTGGAGCTACCGTGCCTTGGAAACAAGAAGAAAGCTACGACCACTACCTACGGCCAATCTTGTTTACACGGCGGCGCGCAATTGTTTCGCGTCTTAGGCTGGGGACTGCACTATACACTGCGGGAAATGACATGGGATCAGAATTATCGAAATATTGAAACGAAAGCTGCTTTGTTTTGTCTTTCAATTCTTTCTTCTTCGCCCTTTTAAAACATGGGTGTTTTGTTAAGGGGGCAGGCCAGCCCGGCAACGGCTGGGTTTAGTTTCCACTTACCACAGCCAAAACAGTGACGGGAACAAATCTGAGATGAGAGCTGATGACACACACAGACAGGTAAGATGCCGAGCATGGGATAAAGTACCTGCAAGTATCTACATGATTCATTCACGGGACCGAGACGACAGCATGGGGCATGTAGGGAACTTGCCCGAGCCTTGGACATCTCATTGGTTTGTTCCTTTTGCCAAGTTGTCCCCTGGCTGCCCAGAAGAGGTGGATTATGCATCGTATGCAGGTTAGGGCTTCCGATGTGTACGCTTTAGTGCTGCAAATTCAGGTATCGCGGCAGATTCCTTCTCAGATGCAATACGACAGCAACGATTGCCCAGCTCAAAAGGAAGGAAAAAAGCTTTTACGCGAGGAACTAACAGGGATTTCTCTTGGAATCAACCAAGCCCTAGGAGAGAAAATGAAGAAGCAGCCGGGCGAAGAGCCAAGTGGGAATAAGAGGAGCCCGGCAAAGCGAAAACTGTGTGCGAATTATGGAGCAATACCTCGGACCTCGTACTCTTCGGCGCTGCTGCCGTCGTACCTGTACCTGGACCTGTACCTGGACCTGTACCTGGACCTGTACCTGGACCTGTCATCGCGTGCGCTCCGATATGCATATGGATCCAGTCTCCTCGGCCCTCGTTACATGCCAGGAGTTTCCGTGGCGTCGGGTTGCTAAAATGGGACGCAGCCGGTGTCCCAGGGCCGTGGACCTCTTCGGTACTTTGCGCGCAGGTACCTTTGCACTGCGCATAGGAGAGGGGCTACTTGGACATGCGCACAGGGGCTGCGTACCCCTGGGGCCTCAAACAGATGGCTTCTACCCTTTGCATTCTCCCACTTGCTCGCCTTTTTTGCTGTTTGTTGACTCAATCCCTTGCTATTTACTTTCAACTGTATCAAGGACCCTGATGTTGTCATAATTGATGAACAGGTACCTGGTAACACTACTTGGAAAAGGTTGTGGTTGCGAGGGGCTCATGCGATCAAGTTTAACTTTGACTCCTTGTCGGGCCATGCCTCGCTCAAAGCTGTAGCTCGCTGCGTCTGCTCTGATTATGCAACCACCTCAGTCAAATCACGGCTGACGCTCTATAAGCAACGGCGGAAAGCATGTTTTCCATCTATTGGAACTGATACTATAATATGCTTTGGCTCTAAGCAGCTCAATGCCCAAAGCAGCTCATAACCCGCCGCTTACAAGCTCCAACATGGCCCAAAAAGAATAACACGTAATAAAAAGACAAACGAAAAAGAAGCAGCTCCGTTTGTCCTCTGGCCCAAGCAAAAAAACTCAACTTCCCGGCTGCTCCGCCATCTATTCTCCTCTTGTTTATGTAAAACGGCCAAAACAACATGGGCCCCCTCCGGCTGGGCTGAGAGCCAAAGTTTGACACCCCTGTCACGATGCAAGGTTGCCCTTCCCAAGATGTCCCGTCCCCTGTCCCTGCATCCACCTCTGTACTGTACAGTAGTGTGTGTACTGTAGAAAAAGAGAGAAGAAGAAGAGAGAGAAAGAAAAAATCTCACCAATACCACGGTGTACCTGCCCGACGCACGCCCGGATGCCCTTCCGCGCAAGTCTTTTTTAGTACTGCAAGGCCCTCTTATGCCCTGGCCCCGAACGCGTATTCCCCGAGAGGATGAGGTTCTGCGAGCTTTTAGTGTAGCTGTTCCCCCTCATCCCGGGACCGGTTTTGTTCCTTTTTTCCTTCTTTTTCCCCCTCGCTCTGTTTCTTCTTGTTTCTTACTTCTCCAGGCTTAATCCACCCTCCTGTGGTGCTTCTCTCTTTATTGACCTCCCCATCCGGAATGCCTGCTCCAAAGCCACTGTAACGCTCCTTTTTTTTTTTCCTTTGCTCAATCGAATCGATGAGAGCACTGCCTGGCTTTCTGCCGACCTTTGATTGCCGTCGCCTGTCTCAGCTATCACTTATCACAAAAAATCACAAGCCCCGGATTCCCACCATCTGCCGGATCTAAAGAAGCGCACTAGAGAAAACGAGCCTGCAGCATCACATCGATCGCCAACACCTCGAGGAATTTTTTTTTTCTTGTTGGCTCGTGTCCATTGACGTCGTTGGGCTTTAACTGTCTTTTATTTTTATCTTCGCTTTTTCGAACTGGCGGTTGACGATCTGTGCGCGGCCTGCATTGTCACTCTCTGATTAGGTAGCCAATCGGTTACCTGCTTGGCGCAACACTCAGTGTTTCAGGCCTCGCTCTCATACCACTGGAATTCTTCCAAACAACAATCTTTTCTTCCTCCGGTTTCCCCTCTTGGGCCGGCAACGCTCATTTTCTAGCCAACAATGCCTCGACTCATTTCAATTGCGCTGGGAGCGCTCACGTTCATCGCCACGACGGCCACGCTGTGCACTCAGATCGCCATCAGTGTAAGCGTTCCCCAGTCATCACCAGGCAGAACAACATCAAGTGTCGCTGCGGCATTCGAAGCCGCAATTCTGGTCCTTCTCGCATGGCTTGTTGCGACCGACATTCTGCCTGCATTACCAGGGCGGTCCAAACCGTTACGGAACATCCTCTATGGCCTCAAGATCTCGGCTTGTGTCATTGCGACTGTGACCTCCATCGTCGCTCTGGTATACTTGGCCCAGGCCGATGGAGCAGACAATCAACACCTCCTTGTTGGAGCTTCCATCACATTCGCACTGGCAATTACATGTCAAATCGTATACACTATTCATCAGTTCTTTTCCAACTCAGACGGCAGCAAAGACGTGGAGAACGGACGATCGCGCAAGGTTAACCTCAAGACCATCAGATACAGCCAGACAATGCCCATTACGGAGGAGACGAATCACACTGAACAGCTGGAATCTCAGGGTAATCGAAGCCGCTCCAACTCGGCGGACTGCAAGTCAATGGCTGAGACTGTCGCATCTTCCGTGACTTATGTGTCCCACTCGATTCGCTCCGTTTCAAGCAAGACCAAGATGCGCTCCTCAAAGGAGGGGACCCGCTCCATGTCGATGGATTCGACTGCCAACCGAAGCACCATGGGCGACGACGCTTTTGATTCCTGGGACACATCAACAGTAGACGTGCACAACCGAGAAGCTGTGATGGAAATCTCAACACCCACGCAAAGCAAGCCCCGCGGCCTCGAAACAATTCCTGCCAGCCCCGTGGCCAGCCGGAGTCCATCGCCACAGTCCTTTGTCGAACTTGAACCACCTCGTATTCAAACCCGTCGCCGAAGCCGAAGCTACAGCCCCGTGTCTATTCGACGAGAGCTTCGTGATCTGCCGGGCGCAAACAGCAACGAGGCCCATATCCATCCTCTCTTCCGATCTGACTCACCCGACCCGCATCCTTTTGCGACGCCTGGCACCATCGTCATGGCAGCGCCAGATGCGGGACGAGTCCTTTCCCGCCAGTCGAGCAACATATCCCTCAACCGTCTCCGAAGTGACAGCTTGCCGATCGCGCCTCCAAACCTGAACAGGAACGACGGCTTCGATTCTAGGTCATTGAGGACGTACGGGTCTGAGCTGGATCTCAGCAAACATGCACATGGTGACATGGACATGGTGCCTCCTGCGCCTGAATGGCTGCGCAGGGAAATATGATTGTGCCACAGATGGGGACTTTTAACGACTTGACGTATCTGAATTCTTTTCTTCTTCTTCTTCTTCTCTTATTTATTATTCCCTCCCTTTACTTTTTAACGAATTCAAAACCATTTTTATCGATTACATGGGAGAAACGCCAGAACACCGGAAACAAATGGAAAAATATAACGTTAGAAATAGGACATGGATGGAAACATGGCGTTGATACCATTTTGTTGTTGGCCAAAGTATTAGATGAGCGTGGCGTTGGATGCCCTTTTCATTTTCATTTGATCTTTGCCGCTATACCTTCTCTTTCTTCGGGGATACACATACAATCATATGTGCGTGCATATCCCTTTCCTCAACTCGCTTCGGCAGCAGGACTATATTAGCAAATAAAAAGCAAAATTTATACCTACTTCACTCAAGTCCAAGCGTTTATGATGTAGTCGTAGTGGGCGCAAATTGACTAATGACATGTGATTATGAGCCTCTTTTTGTGATGATTAGCCACATCTCTCAAGTAACCTTACCAACCTTACCTGTAGCGAGACTGTCTAGCAGCATTACCAATACAAGAAGGCGCAAGTGGCGCTAGAATACACCCATGGGCTAATCCGAGGCTCGGGAGCCAAGTCCTAAGGCTCGACTGGTTGGGGTACTTGGGCGCGCATATCGCGATGCACTGGGCACGAGGTACCCTGACCAGGCAGCAGGCAGTCGTGGCGTATGTCATCAACATGATGTTGGACTGCAAACATGCACGTATGAGTGTATCTGCATGGGCCTTGGGAAAAGTACAGATGCGCAATTACGCGGCCTTTGATGGCAGGTACCTTGAGAGTACTCCATATATCTGCAGGTATTCATGATAGCATAGCATCTGAGGAAATTTTGGATTTTGGCTCTTTTGAATCTAATTCTCTGTCTTGATGTGGCTAGGGATTAAGCACCAAGTACTATGGCTGAGGTCGTATCCTCTAATCAATAGTGAAAGACAGAATGAATTGAGGACGGATAAACACATTTAAGGTCACTAGGTAGTACATTGTGTTATAAGCATCCATATCAGTACCGACTCTCGTCTCAACGCCCGTGCTGGAGATCCTCCTCGTGGCCATACACAGCAGCTAAGCACATGAAATCTGCATGCATGTGCCCCAAAAAGCCACACAGGGAAGCAGCCAGCAGCCAGCAGCCAGCTTACTGTAGTAGTCCCCAGTGGAGTCCTTCAGTGCTTTTGCCGCTCTCTCTTTCTCTCCCCACCACTAAATCAGCCACACGCTTCTCTCGCTCGACCCCACCCTCTGCAAAGCCCAGGCGCCGCAGCCTGAATAACTTCCACCTCTTCCAAATCTGCCTCGACATTAACGATCCAGCGTATCGCCTCTGCCCTCGAGCGGCGCACTCTTCTGTCCATCTCCATCTACAGCGTCTCTCTCGCCGGCCGAATCTTGCGCACTCACAGCTGCTGCCCGCCTGCGAACGACGACAGCGAGGCCTTCCGCTCGACCTTTTTCTTCTCCCCTCCCATCCGACGCAGCCACTTCGCTGCCACACATCTGCCCATCATGAAGGTCACATTTCGAGTACGTCGCCAACTTTAGTCCGACCTACGCGAGGCATCACACGAGCTTCAGAGTGGCTACGATGCCTCTCTTTTGCTGCCAGCCGATGCTTTCTTTCATGCTGCAGGCGCTGACACTCCTCTTCCATCTAGGATCTCAAACAACAAAAATTCGTCCTCGATGTAGAGCCCACAGACCGAGTACGTCTATAGCTATCTATATTTGCGAGAGCTACCCTTATTATCGCCGCTTTTCGCAGTCGTCGGAATCGACTACTAACTACGCTTCTCTCTATCAGATCTCCGCTGTCAAGGAGAAGATCGCGGCCGAGAAGGGCTGGGAGCCCAAGACCCAGAAGCTCATCTACTCAGGTTTGATATACCCTGGCTTCGCACCGTTGCGCTGCCCTGATTCTGACCTCATACAGGCAAAATCCTGAAGGATGACGATACCGTTGAGTCATACAATATCGAGGAGAAGGGATTTGTCGTCTGCATGGTGAACAAGGTACGCCTTGACATCGGATACCTTTGTAGCATTCATTCGCAGTCTAACCTTTGCCAAAATAGCCCAGGCCCGCCGCCGCCGCCGCACCCGCTGCCGCTGCAGCACCGCCAGCTACTCCTGCGCAGCGAGTTCCTAGCACACCTGCTGTGCCCCCTGCCCCTTCTCAGACTTCCAGCCAGGCCCCTCCTCCAGCAACACCGACTCCTAACCGCTCCGTTGAGTCGCCGTCCGGCGGTGTTTCTGGTTTGGCCATGGGTGCCGAGCGCGCTGAGGCCATCGCCAACATGGAAGCCATGGGCTTTGAAAGAACCCAAATCGAGGCAGCTATGCGTGCCGCTTTCAACAACCCCGACAGAGCTGTTGAATATCTTTTGACTGTGGGTACCACGTAGAACCATCACTTGGTTGCCAATTTTTACTAACATGAGCCTCGAAGGGTATTCCCGAGAACATCCAACAAGAGCAGCAACAACGGGCAAGCCAACAGCAGGCCGCCGCTGCCGCACCAGCTGCCGCCCCTACTGGCAATGACGATGACAATATTAACCTATTTGATCTCGCTGCCCAGCGAAGAGGTGGTGGTGCCAGCGATGCCCCTGCGGCCGCTGCCGCTGGACAGGGCGATTTGGGCAATCTTGATTTCCTTCGCCACAATGCCCAGTTCCAACAGCTTCGTCAAGTAGTCCAGCAGCAGCCCCAAATGCTCGAGCCTATCCTCCAGCAGCTCGGTGCTGGCAATCCCCAGCTTGCCCAGCTGATTGCTTCAAACCCAGACCAATTCTTGCAGCTCCTTGGTGAGGATGCTGAAGATGACGTTCCCCTACCTCCTGGTGCCCAGGCCATCTCTGTTACAGAAGAGGAGCGCGATGCGATTGAGCGGGTTAGTATTCTCCTCTGTTGTTTCTTCATCTGTATTATTGATGAATGCTCTTGTTAACAAAGCCTACAGTTATGCCGACTTGGATTCGACCGGGACCAAGCCATCCAGGCCTACTTTGCCTGCGACAAGAACGAGGAGCTTGCGGCCAACTTCCTCTTTGACCAACCAGAGGACGATGAGCCACCGACAAACTAGGAAGACTTTGTGGAAAGCTGAGAAGTCGTTGGAGCGTTTCAATGGTAATGAGCAAAGGAAAGACATGGGAAGACAAATGGAAGATTATTTTGATAATTTGGCAATATTAAGGCGTAGGATGACCTCGTGGGACGAACGACCGTAATAATGCTGCTGCTTTTGAAAATTCAAGTATCATTTACGGGTTGGACCTATTCGAAAGAAATGAAAGCGCTGGCCTAATTCCAACGCAGGACAGGGGGAACAAACGAGACGAGGACCGGGGACGCTTTGAGAGGTCATATGGAAGTTACTTACTCTGATATCAAATTTGGTAAAAAAAAGTCGTTAAAGCAAACTTTGTGTCTATATCCATTGAATCGTGAAGAGTAAGCCGGATATGTATCTAGGATGGCACTATGCGAACAAATTGAATAAAAAGTTCTTTGGTTTTGTTATTCATACCGACTTAATGAAACGAATGAATCAGGTTTGTTCTGTCCATAACTAGGTAGGTACATGTAGTCCTCAAAGACTCGAACCAAAACCCCAGTCCGTAAAAGCATCTTGAGGGGTATTATCATAGTAATTCTTAAATATCCTTCCTTCCTTCCTTTGCCCGAGCTAAATTTCCTTCCTTGCTCTTAGGAGTGCGCAAACGCCGATACTATGCCGAAAAGCAAAATTTGAGAAAGCAAAAAGCAAAATTGAAAGAGAGAGAGAAACGTAAATGGGAAAAGTCGCCCAATTCTTTTGTTATCCAAATCAAGCTTCTGCAGGAATGATTGGTTCGCCATTTAGCCCATATTGTATAGCCTGTTTCCCCTTCTTGCCCTTCTTCTTCTTCTTCCCCGAGGCGTCCTCGTCCGCAAATAGCTCCTCGCGCTTCTTGCGCATGATTTCAGCCTGTTCATCGGCGACGCGCTTCTGCTCGGCCTCAAAGTCATCCTGGATCTTGCGCTGCTCGGCCTCGATGGATTCCACGGATTCAAATTCAATGCCCGTAAAGGCCTTGTACTCGTCAATGTCGATCCGGACCGTCTTTTCGCCTATAAGCGCGGCGTTGAGGAGGTGGGGGCAGTGACGTTCTTCGCGATTATACTTTAACTTTACGTGTCGGCGCTGCTTGTTGGGGAACATGTGGGAGATCATCTCGAATTCTGTCCCAAACATGCGCAGGCCTCGATAAAATAGCTCGGTTTCTTCATCGGTCCAAATGTTTGGTCCCTTTAATTTTGAGGTGTTCATAAACGAGCTACTGGTGATGAGTCTGGTGAAGTCGTTTTCTTCAACAGTCTCCATGTCCCCTCTTGCTGCGGCGGCACGGGCATGTCGATCCATGACCAGTGAACTCTGATCGATGATAATCTGGCCATCGACAATTCGGAACTGTGGGCCAGAGGCAGGTGCCGGTGAAGACGCGGCGGTTGGTGTGGCGCTTTTGCTCTTGATTGCCGGGTCTCCTGGTGCTTCCGGAGCTTCTGACCCATCACGGCTAGTGTCGCCCATCATTTTCTTGACTTTGGATCTTACTCTCGCTTGTCGTTCTCGCTCCCGTAGTTCGTCGTGGCGGCTGAACTTTTTGCCAATATGTAAATCTTTTGTCAAGTCGGTCATTTTTAGGTTTTGCAGATCAACAATCTGTGTTTCTGCATCTTCTGGTGTTACTGAGCGCGCTTTCCTCGCTCTGGTTCGGGGTGTTGTTGTCCCATCCTGAGTGGACGCCTTGCGTTGCCTAGGCTTGGCAGCCGCGGCACCACTATCGTTTTCTGATGCCTTGCGCTGACGCTTTTTGGGTCGTGCCTCGGCGTCTGCATCACCCTCAGCACCCTCTGCTGCTGAAGTGGGTGCTTTCCTTCTAGTTCTTGTCTTCGGCGCTGTGGAAGGTGCTGGTGTGGCTTCCTGAGCGACTGGTGGTGAAATTTGTGATGCATCTGTGCCTGCTGATGTCTCGGGCGTAGTGTCTTGGATATCTTGCGATGGGCGTGGTGGATCTCGTAATTCTGGTGCAATGTTGTGTTCTTCAACTATAGGCCGTGGTTCTCTTTGTTTTTTTGCCTTGGGCGGCTCCAAGTGCTGCGCATCTCTTGTCGCAGCTTCTACTGCTGTGTTGTGAGAGCTATTTGTCGCCTCTGCAATGCTTGGTTGTGGTGTGTCGAGCAGTTGACCGTGCTCTTGGGGTTTAAGGCTATAGACATCCTGAGTTGACGGCTCAGATGTGATAATGGAGCTGGCTCTCGCAATATCTGAAGATTCTGGTGAGGACAGGTTTTCCGACTCGCTTGTGCTGGCGGTAGTATTTGAATTCTCTCGAGCGTCGAGGCTTGGGCTTTCAGCAGCCGCGATCGATACGGGTTCCGGCTCGATGACCTCTTTCTCGGCTTCGACGTCTGCAGCGGGGATCGCGGGGCGTGGTCGTGCAGATGGGATCCTTGGTTTGAAGGCAAGGCCGCCCTTCTTCTTGAACATGGAACTCATTTCGGCTTATTGGTGTGGCATGTACAGTCAAGCGCTACCGCTGGGTTGTGTTTACTTCCATTTGACGAGTGAACGGCAGAAAACAAACGATGCAGCGCCGAGCTGAAAGATAGGAAAGTTAGTCAATCGTAATCGGCCAATTTTTTTTTGCAATGCGCCAAAGGATTCCTCGGATAAGCCAGAAAAGTCGGTTGCAGAAGTGGGGTGCATGACAAGCGCATCCGGGCTTTAGCCGAAACATGCATACGATAAGCAGAAAACTCGATCAGGCTAGAGCTGCGCTAGGCTTGTTTTGGCGCGCAGACGTGCCTCTTTGCTTTGCGAGGCAACTTCGAAATTTCAACTCCTTGACGACTCGGTCTCTGCATCTCCTCCTCGCTGACCGTCGCGCCCTGCCATATGAACACTTGCGCGCGCAGTCCAAGGACGACATCAGCCCGAGAGTACTCTTTGCTTCTTCTTACCCGCCCCTATTCGCCTGCCACCCTCCCTGCCGGCCCTCCCTGACGCGCCTTCTCATGCCTGTGGCAACGACTCCCTCTGCCTCGCCTCGTCCGTCCACGCTTGTGAAGATGGACGACAGGAAGAGACCCGCCATCAGCGGCGCCGAGGATCTGGCTCCTCCTAGCAAGAGGGTCGCCATCAATGGCTCCAAGGCCAAGGACGACAACGCGGACATGAAGGAAGAAACCTGGATCGAGGTAAGTGTCGCATGATCCCACTCCCCGTCCCATCCGCCCACGAGACACCCCGGTATCGGGATTGCACCTCCTCGTTCTGTTGGGCATGTTGCTGTCCCGCAACCAATTCCGCTCGCCCTGTCAGCTACAGCCCTTGTTGGGGGCGTCGTTGCCGGATGATAGTGCTCACCAAGCCAGTGATGTTGCTCATTGCTTAGCGAGAGCGATTAGCGGCTTCTTTGCTCCCCAAAAATCCAAGAGAAAAACAATTCAAAACCAGTAATACGCTCTGCATATCAACCCTCTTGCCGCGCGCTGTCTATATCGTGATTCTATTTCAGCGCGTCATTCATTCCACGCAACGACCAATATCATAACGAGCAACGTGGCGCTGACTGGACATAATCAGGTATATACAAAGGGAGCAATCTACCGGCAAATGCAAGAATACAGCCGCAAGGCAGTGACGGCGGAATCGCGCTTGGAAGAATTACATAAGAGATCTGTGCATCATGACGATCATTTGCGAATAGTCGATGCATGGTGGCGACAGGTATGTGGACCTCTGTGATGTTACTGATCTTTTTTAGTCACTGTCGGACTAACATTCGTGCTACAGCTTGTCGAAGAGCTTGAGTTAATAGCCACGTCAAAAGTAACACTTACGGAAAAAAGTGGTACGTATCTATTTTCTGATGAATTGGTGGAGACCTCGAAGCCACAAAGCCACTGATATCTAACCCTCTAAATGTTGCAGATGGCCCATATCTCACAAGCGTCAATTTCAAGGATTTACATGACTTTCAAGTACACTTACAGGAAAAGGGAAAATCGATCAAAGCGAAAGCCGAAACGCTGCTCAGTCAACTCGCTGCTCTGCGGCAAAATATTTCCCCCAAGACATCTGAGCTGGAGAGCAAAGTCGCCAGTCTTCTGGCCGCCCAGAAAGAGTATTTCCTCAAACTTGACCGATTAAGCGGAGAAAAAGAGCAACTTTCGGAGCAACTTAATGCGGCGACGTTACGATACTTCAAGGCCGAGAAGAAATTGGATCGCGCTAAAAGTGCTCAGGTCCAGAGGCTGGAACAACAAGCATTTGCTAATGCCACACGGCCTGTTACTACACCTACCGAGGGAGCACCGGAGCCTAATGAAGCAAATGGCACTGTCAACGAATTATTAGTTAAATATGAAGAAGTCACAGCCGCCGCCGCGAAGCAAAAAGAGCAACTGGAAACTCTTCTCGCGGATCTCAAAACGGCACAGGAGGAAAATACGAGCTTGAAATCTCGACGCGACACATTTACGGACGAAGACTACATTAGAACTGATGTTTTCAAACAGTTCAAAAACCAGAATGAGGATTTGATTAAGCGAATAAACACCTTGGAAGCCACCAACAAACAACTTCGCGAAGAGGCTGAAAAGCTTCAGGCGGAGCGAACGGCATTCCGAACTCAGCTCGAAGCAGACATGAACCAGGTGGCACAAGATTATGAAGCTGATATTGCGGCGCGAGATCAGGATCTGACTCGCGTGCGATCTGCTCGGGATGAAATCCTCGCCGAAAATGTGCAGCGAAGGGCAAATGCGGAGCAAGAGAAGATTGCAATGGAGCACATCAAGGAACTAGTCTTGGCGAAAGAAGACAGGATATCGGCGCTCGAATTGGAACTTGCTCGCTTACAACCCACAGAGGACGAAACAATGGCCGACGCTGGCGATGCCGAGGATATTACGGAAGCGGAACTCCGGCAAAAGTATAAGAAGCTGAAGCAGGATTTCAACTCCATCAACCTTGAGCTGCCCGCAATGGAGAAGGCCTACAAGAAGATGAAGGATCTCGCTCAAAAGAAGGTGCTCGACTACGCCGCTTTGGAAGAGAAGGTGGCCATTCTCATTGCTGAAAAGAGCAAAGCCGATCAGAAATACTTTTCTGCTCGAAAAGATGCCGACAACCGAAACAGCGAAATCAGGTCTCTTAGACATCAAAGCGGAAAGACAGCCGAGATTATTGCCCAGCTGAAAGACTTTGAATCTCAGAATCGGACTCTGCTATCCAATCTGGAGAAGCAGGTGGCGGATCTGAAGCAGGCCAACGCGGCTCTTGTTTCTGAAAACAAGAAGATGGAGTCCAATAGCCTCGAGGCTGTCAGGCGAGCGGAATCTGTTGCGAAGCAAGTTGGAGAACTGAGCAGTTTGGTAAAGTCGAAGGATGCATCAACAGCTGTCATCAGAGAGCGAAATGCAACGCAAGAGGTCGAAGTCGAGAAGATCAAAGTCCGGCTGGAGCACGTACAGAAAGATCGAGACAACTGGAAGAACAAGGCGCTAAGTAACTCGTCAGAAGAAGAAGATATGCTTCGAGTACGTTTTCCTCTCACCACCCTGATACTTCCCTTTGGATTCGGGTTTATTCTAACCACTGTTGAAAATAGACCATGGCCTTGTGCACAGTATGCCGCACCAACTTCAAGAATACAGCCCTCAAAACTTGCGGTCATCTCTTCTGTAACAAGTGCGTGGACGATCGTATAAGTAACCGTATGCGAAAATGTCCAAGCTGTTCGAGAGCGTTTGACAAGATGGATGTTATGCAGGTTCACTTTTAAAATGAAAATTTTAAAATGATGAACTTTTCTGTCTTGTATCGCTTGCGTACTTGTGTTTATCTGTTTTGCATTGATTTCATTTCTTCAATCTTTTTCATTTTTTCGCATATGTTTTCACGGAGGAACGACTAGAAATTTACATCGACAACGTCACGAATCTATTCAAATGTGTTATAGGCGCACGGGGGGGATGGGGAGTTGCTAGCGGTCGGGTCCGCAGCGGAAGTTATATGACATCTACCAACTATGTGTCATTTTGGTTTTTTTCACATTTTTCGAAAAACAAGGGTATAGGGGTCGGCGTGTTGGACAATGTAGCACCAGTGTACGTTTACGAGCAAGGGACGATATGAGGGATGCTTCAACCTTGTACATAATGTGTAGAGGATGATGGGCGGACATTAAGTCGCTGCCCAATGGGTCTACGAGGATGGAGCTGGGTTGGATAAGAGAGAAGCCGCAAGTTTGGCGGGGTTTCTGACTCATTGCTTGATATGCTTTGCTTATTTTGTGCTTGCTATGTCCTGGTGCTTTGTACTCCGTAGCACACATATATACCTACATAGTACTGAAAAAACGAATCAACGGCTATCTGCGACTTGTTGAGCCGAAGCCTGTGCTCTCGTGACGAGAGGAGTTAGAACTTGAGCCAGAGCCGGAAGAGAAAGACTGTGAGCTCGATGGCCCAGCACCCCATCCCCGTGAGCCGTATCTGTCGTCCCGCCGATTATTGTTTCGATTTCCAGCCATGTAACCAGCCGCTGCTCCTCCAGCAAGCCCACTCCAAAATCCAGGTCTCCATCCGTGCTGCGATTGATCAGGCTTTGTTCCGGGATAAGGTGGTGGCGGATCGTTTCCTGGACCCCAACCGCCACCGCCGCCGCCGCCTCCTCCTCCACCATATCCTCTCCGTCCAGGAGGGCGCTGTCCTGGGTTCGTCCCACTTTGCCATGCAGAGTACACTATCCATCCAAGAACGGCAATGAAGATGACTGCAAATGCCCACGCGCCGAAATCCGTACCTCCTTCGCCGTCACTAAACCAGCGGCCGTTCGGATCCGCCACGCCTGGATACCTCTTCTCGCCCTTGTCGGTCAATATGAGCCTGTACTCGACTCCGCAGCTGCCTTTGAGGACATATGGATCATCGGGCGAAGAGTAGCCTTCACAGATGACATCGGTGCTGCCCAGCTTGAACTCTTCCGGCAGCGAAGCGGTGCAGCTCCATTCTACGTCCTCGTCGCCATATGAGGAGCCCTGGTTGGTGCAGCGCAAGACGTCAATTGCATAGAGGTCGCAGACGGCCTTTGATGAGATGCATTTGAGTTGCGGGACGGAGGCGACGCGGCGAGATGTGGTCTTTGCGCCATTGCCGCGTAGGGTGAGAGTTCGTACTTCTGAGAGGAGGATTGCGTTCTTATTGGGTCGGGCGGCGAGGGATTGGAAGGGAAAGATGGAGAGGAGGAAGACGGCGAGGGCCAGAGGTTCGAAGAACATGGCTGCTGACTTTTGGGGTCTTGGTGGATGTAGACTTGAGAGGTTATTGAGTTAAAGTAATTGATTATTGGAATAGTGCTTGGAGTAGCCTTGTGTATTATAAGGCCATGGCGCAATGTGCTGATATATGCTCTGTTGGATGAAAGTGTAGGGTTGAGAGTAAGTAAATGGTTGAATTTGAAACGACTTTCAGGCAGAGTCTGTTATAAAAAAGTGTTGATGCCTTAGTGTAAGGACACGATGTCCTGAGTGACTTGGGGGTGTTACGTGTGCGCGGATGTTCTCCAATAGACCAGCTCTAGAGCTCTGAAAGAGATTTAAGCAGTGTTTGCTCAAGCCCGTAGTAGCTTAGAGGCTGTAGCGACGAGTCAGAATGACGGCATTGGCTGCCTGCTGGGAGGTACGCTATCTAAGGTAAGTGCCTGATCTGTACGGAGCAGCAAGCGTGCTTTTCGCCTCATTCACAGATAGGCACGGTGAGCCAAGCTTCCTATCGGTTTCCTCATATGCATATTTCCTTGCTTTCTCGTCATACCATTTCCATCTTTTCTTTGCCAATTTTTTTTTGCCGCCACAGTGGCAGCAAGTGCTGCTCACACCGAAGCCAGCGCGCTGGAAAATTGGGCCAGAAAACCGTGGCGAAAACGCCTTGGGTAGTATATTTGATAAATCAATCCGCGGCATAAGACTAGTAGTCATCCATCACAATAAAAAAAACGCCCGAAATTCTGTAGAGGAAATCGAGGAGATTGAGGAGGCGTTCAAGAAGATGCGCTACATGTTCGAGAATGGATATGAACGGCATGCTTCGTAAGCCGAAATTGAACAGCGACCCAGGTGCACAGGAGAGAAGGATGCTGCAAGCATCCATAAATCGATAGAAGAGATGCTCATCGCCAACGTGAGAATGATACGCAGTAGTGCCAAGTTGCACACAGCTTGCTATATGAGCTTGCTGGCCAATATGCACTTCAATACAAAGTCAACTGCACTTGTTCAGAGCCGCCGCAGCCATTGAGAGCAGATGAGGCCACCAGGAACGAACTATGTTTTGTAATTGATTGGTGTAGTACCTGATATTCTATAAGACTCATCAGCCAGATTATAAGAAGTGAGTGTTTCACGAATTGCCTTATTTGCCATGTCGTAGGTTTAGATGGGCAACGGTGGGTTTAACAAGAATTTGGTAGTACAAGCCAAAGGAAAGAGAGAGAGCGATGTGCAATAAATTAGATGCGGTCAAACGACCAAGAGAGACGTAAGCTTGTACTGCTGCTACTGATTCAAATATTAGCTACATGGACTGCCTTGTGCTTTATTGCGCTACAGTAATAGCAACGTTTGTTCTTCTTCTTTGGAACGGCTGTAAAACGTACCGACTCCCTTCTTCCAGACCGCGAGTTGATATGAGTAGACAGGGCGTGGCGTAAGTCTTGAGCGTAATACATGGCAAGGTGTGGATGTGTCAGCCATGGAGATATTAGTCGTAGTATTACGCGCTAAGACAAGCTTAATCCAGATCGAAAGAGACGAGGAAATGAGATGAAATAGCTGATTCAATGCACATATCAATGACTGTTAAAGTTTCCGGAGTCTATAAATCACCGAGAATCCGAATTTGCAAACGAAAACCCTCATATAGGCAAAAGAAGCGATTCTACCGCCTAACACACTGCAGCTGGACGTCCAATCTCCAGACGATCTGAGGTCGGGATATTTTGGGTCGCTGTGGGTACGGGGCCTCAGCCGTCACTCGGCTGACTGTCCCCTGGACTTCTCAAAGAGGCAATACGTGGCGGTCGTGCATATTACGAGGGACTTTGACCAACGCCGGTGGATCAAATCAGTGACCCCTTGCAACAGGGAACAGTACGAGCTGTGAAAGCTGGGTACAGGAACGCTCAATAACGAAGTGAAAAAAAAGGTATGTATCTGTTGCCATAGGATGCCTTTTCTTGTTGTTGACCAAGCTGAAGCAAACCTGGCTTGGGGAGAAAAAGGCAAGCGGGAGTGGACGGAGAAGCGGGAGAAGCAAGAAAAAGGTAGGATTGTAGGTGGCTGGACGAGTCATGTTGAGATGGCATGTCTTGGTTACGTTACCAGTGATGGGTACGGAGCAATAAGACGGTAAGAATCACCATGTTTCGCTAATAAGATTTCACCGGCTGGGATTGATCCGGCGGTGGTCTTGGAACAGTACGAGAATCCCAAGTATAAGAGATGTCCCGTAGATGCAATAATGGGATCGACGGTTAATTGCGAACAGTAGTGATATTTTCCTCACGCAGTATACAGCAGATACACTCGAAAATACCAAGGTGCGTACAAACGTTCCGCATGTCTCAGAGCCCAGCATCGTGAGTAGTGCGCCACGGTGGATTATGAGAGGATATGAACCCCAGCCAATGTCTTGGTTGTGCCTCCTACATATATACAGTGCGTGTCCGCTACATCCACGACCTCATATGGGCATCAAGCCCCGATTCTTTTGAGTCGACGCTGCTATGTAGCACAAGCTGGGAGCTGTTGCCTGCAGTCAAATGAAGAAGTTTATATAAGTAATGCTTGATAGACTGTGTTGTCCAAAGGCAGAACAAACCGCAAGAGAATCATGCACCTGAGGCCAGACTCCTTGGGGCGGCGCACAGTGTGCGGATGTACAGGCTAGTGGAATGGAGGCGGCTCACTACATGGTGGTGTCACAGCTCGAGTTAGAATACCAACTATTCCCTACCATCCCTGTCGAGAGAAGCACGAGCAGCCAGCATGCGAGCTCCTCGGCGGCCCAGCCCCCAGACATGCTGTACAGGCACAGTAGAGTGCTTGTTCTCGTCTCCGCCGAAGCAGACAAAAGCCAGCGGCGCCCATGGCACGCCCCCTCGGCATCACCCATCTCTGCCAGGGAGCTACGTGTACTATCTATCTCCTGGGCACGTGTATAAACGCAAATCATTCTACAGGTGTTTCTTCCGCCAAATTTTACTGCTGCTGCGAAGCTTCCTCTCGCGGCGACATAGTTACGAGTCCGTGCGTGTACAAATCCATTGCCCTGCCTATCCCTTGCTGTCTCTTCGATGACCTGAGCTGTACTGAGCTTTGTCGGACGCTGCAAGCTGTCGCGTTGGAGATACCCCTGGCTACGGAGGCATGCTATTTACATGTACATACGAAGCATAAGGTAGTATCTGGTCAACAGCAACAACAACTGAACAGCAGAGTGACGCACTGATACACAAGCCGTCGTCTTTCGGCGAACTAATTGTCAACTTCCGCCATGGCCGACGAGAAGCCTGAAGCGGTCGCCAGAGACCTGGCCTCAGAACGCTCCTCGAGCCCAGGTTCGTCTCTCAGAAATGAGTCGGCCGCCGTCCAAGGTACTCCGCCAAAAGACGAATCTGTTAAGGCCAACAAGGCAGACCTTGAAGATGGCAGAGAGCTAAACATCATCGCGAACCCAGACCTCGAGGAAAAGAAAACGGAAAAGGGAGCGGAGAAATCCAAAAAGGAGAAGTCCAAGAAGAAAAAGTCCAAGAAGGAGAAAAAGAAGGCCGACCCGGAAGAAGTTCAACAAGATCCCGAGGAACCTTTCCGACATTTACCTGACAATGAGGCCGAGGTTCTCAAGCGACAGGCTCTAACGCCCAATTTGAAGCAGGGAATTGCTGCGCTCTACCGATATAGCACTGGACTCGACATCTTCCTCATGATAATCGGGGCCATTTGCTCCATTGGCAATGGTGCTGCTCTACCTCTGATGACACTGCTCTTCAGTGGCCTTCAGAAGACCTTCTCCGAGTTCTCAGTAGGCCTGATCGACAAGAGTGGGCTCAGTCATGGCCTTTCGAAATATGTTTTGTACTTTGTATATCTCGCTGTCGGCCAGTTCGTCGTCACTTACATCGCCACCGTGGGCTTCATCTTCGTGGGCGAGAACATCTCTACCCGGATCCGAGAGCATTACCTCGAGAGCTGTCTACGTCAGAATATTGGCTTCTTCGACAAGCTTGGCACTGGAGAAATCATCACTCGCATCACGTCTGACACCAATATTATCCAAGATGGCATCTCTGAAAAGATGGCAATCACGATTGGCGCCATCTCAACGTTTGTGACTGCGTTTGTCATTGCGTTTGCCACTTCTTGGAAGCTGACGCTGATTCTTTCGAGTGTTATCTTCGCCATTCTCATCAATGGGGCTTTATATTCTGGCTACATGATGAAGACTAGCTCAGAGTCCATCACAGCTTTTGCGCATGGTAGCACCCTGGCTGATGAAGTCCTCAGCTCCGCTAGGACTGCCGTTGCCTTTGGATTGCAAGACCGGCTGTCTCAGCAGTATGATAAACACCTGGAAAAGGCCGAATATTACGGCTTCAGGCTCAAAGCTGCCGTTGGAATCATGATTGGTGGTGTCATGTTGCTCCTCTACATGAGTTATGCTCTGGCTTTTTGGCAAGGCAGCACATTTCTCTTGAGAGGCGACATATCTCTCAATCACGTTCTGGTTGTGATGATGACAGTATTGATGGGAGCTTTCAACATGAATGCCATCGCGCCTAACGCGCAAGTTTTTGCTTCTGCGATTAGCTCAGCGTCAAAGCTTTTCGACACCATTGATCGTGTTTCGCCCATCGACTCGGCAAGCGAAGAAGGCGACGTCATCGAGGGTGTTCAAGGCAATATCAGGCTGGAGAATGTCAAGCATATTTATCCTTCACGCCCCGGTGCTATCGTCATGGAAGACGTTACGCTTGATATTCCTGCGGGAAAGACAACTGCCTTGGTGGGAGCATCTGGATCTGGCAAGAGCACCATTATAGGCCTTATAGAGCGATTCTACAACCCCGTGGGAGGCACCATTTATCTTGACGGGCACGACATTGCCACACTGAACCTTCGTTGGCTTCGCCGTCAGGTGTCTCTGGTTAATCAAGAGCCCACGTTGTTTGGAACGACGATTTTTGAAAACATTCGTTACGGCCTGGTTGGAACCGAGCACGAAAATGAAAGCGAAGAAAAACAGCGTGAGCTGGTAATTGCCGCCGCAAAGAAATCCAATGCTCATGACTTCGTTAGCAACCTAACAGAAGGCTACGAAACTGATGTTGGTGACCGTGGTTTTCTTCTTTCTGGTGGACAGAAGCAGCGGATTGCCATCGCGCGAGCTATTGTTAGCGACCCAAAGAGTTAGTTCAGCATCAATGTTTCTTGATTTTGTGTGTCTGTTTGTACTTTGATTGCTAATATGATTGCCATGTATAGTTTTACTTCTCGACGAGGCAACGTCGGCTTTGGACACAGAGTCTGAAGGTATCGTGCAGGCAGCCCTAGAGGCCGCTTCGGCTGGCCGGACTACCATTGCCATTGCTCATAGGCTATCGACCATCAAGGATGCCGATAATATTGTCGTCATGTCACAAGGCCGGATTATAGAACAAGGCACCCACGACGACTTAGTGGAGAAGAAGGGTGCCTATCATAATCTGGTTACTGCACAGAATATCGCGGCGGTTCAAGATGTCGCACGCCAAGAGTCGGATCTTGTCGATGAACTTGAAGACGTGCCAATCAAGAGCCAATTGAGAATCGTAGATGCTGATGACCTGGAGCAAAACAGACTTAAACGAACTTCCACAATCAAGTCTCTATCAAGCATTGTCCTAGGTGGACGTACTGCTGAGGAAGATGCAAGGTACAGCACTTGGGCTCTAGTCATGTTCGTCGCCAAATTCAACCGTAATGAATGGAAGCGCATGATATCTGGTCTCATCTTTTCAATACTCTGTGGTGGTGGCAATCCTATCTCTGCTGGTGAGCTTCGACTACCTCCTCTTTTCTTATTCTGCTTTGTGAATACGTCGGCACGTTACTAACGCTTAAACTTGCCAACCTTAGTCTTCTTCGCCAAAGAAATCGTCGTTCTGACGGCTGCTCTCGTGCCAGATGCTAATATTGGCCAGATAAGACATGACGCATACTTCTGGGCCATCATGTTCATCGTCCTAGCTGTCGGTATGATGATTTGCTATTCTGGCCAAGGAATATCGCTCGCTTCTTGTTCAGAGCACCTTATTCACCGTATCAGATACGAAACATTTAGAACTTTCCTTCGGCAGGACATTTCCTTTTATGATAGAAAGGAGAACTCATCAGGTGTATTGATGGCAACGCTCTCAACCGAGGCCAATAACGTCGGTGGTCTTAGCGGTGCTACTCTGGGAACAATCCTTCTGACATTATCGACTCTTCTCACTTCAATGATCATGGGGCTGGTTATTGGATGGAAACTGTCACTTGTCTGTACGGCAACAATCCCCGTCTTGTTAGCTTGTGGCTTCTTTCGGTTTTACTTGCTGCTACGTTTCCAAACAAGGGCACAAACTGCCTATGCAGCCTCTGCCGCCTACGCCTCCGAAGCCATCTCATCTATTCGTACGGTTGCTTCCCTTACTCGCGAGCAGGACATTATGCGCAAATATCGTGGTGACATTGCCGCACAGCGGCGCAAAGGCTTGAAATCCATACTTTCATCGAGCGCCGTCTACGGTGCTGCCCAAGGCGGCACCTTTCTCTGCTTTGCACTTGGATTCTGGTACGGCGGTACTTTGCTTGCTACTCATGAATACGACCTGTTTACCTTTTTTGTTTGCTTCATGGGCATTATTTACAGCGCCCAGTCGGCAGGAAGCTTCTTTTCGCTTGCGCCCGACATGGGCAGGGCACATACGTCGGCCTTGGCCTTGAAGAAACTCTTTGACCGTGTACCAAAGATTGATTCCTGGTCACAAGAGGGCGAACGTCTCAGCAAGGGCGAAATAGAGGGCAGAGTTGAGTTCCGTGACATTCACTTTCGTTATCCTACACGGCCGGAGCAAGCTGTTCTTCGAGGCCTCAGCCTGACGATCAAGCCAGGCCAGTATGTTGCCTTGGTGGGTGCTTCTGGATGCGGCAAGAGCACGACCATCTCATTGCTGGAGCGATTCTACGACCCTTTGGCGGGTGGTGTCTATGTCGATGGCAAAGATATCAGTACCCTAAACGTTAGCGACTACCGATCATTTATTTCGCTTGTGAATCAAGAGCCGACTCTCTACTCGGGGACGATCAAAGAGAATATTCTTCTCGGCACACCCAAGGAAGATGTCTCAGACGAGGAGCTAGAGCAGGTTTGCCACGAGGCCAATATTTACGAAACCATCGCTTCGCTCCCCGACGGATTCAACACGCTCGTTGGTAGCAAGGGCGGCTTACTCTCAGGCGGCCAAAAGCAGCGCATCGCCATTGCTCGGGCCCTAATCCGTAACCCCAAGATCCTGCTCCTTGACGAAGCCACGTCCGCGCTCGATTCGGAATCCGAGGTTGTCGTCCAGACGGCCTTGGACAGGGCTGCGGCTGGGCGCACTACAATCGCTGTTGCCCATCGCCTGAGCACGATTCAGAAGGCGGACGTCATTTACGTGATTGATCAGGGCTGTGTTGCCGAGTCTGGAACGCATCAGGAATTGATGAGGAGGAATGGACGGTATGCTGAGTTGGTCAAGCTGCAGAGCTTGGCGACGAGCTCGCAAGAGTAGTAGGACGCTGATGGCTGGATATGCCTGCTGAGATGATGGTAAAATTTGCTACCCATCACACTGTTTCTGTTGTATATAGACGGATACATTTACACTTCAAAAAGGCATGAGTGAGATTTCCTTTTTTATGTTCTTTTTCTCATTTTGGTTAGCTGTCTTGGATGAAGAGTGAAAGGACAAGAGGGGCGAGATCCCAACCATTCACCTCACCTCGTGAGATTTGTACTTCATAGCAGAAACACGCCACTTGCTCTATTGATCTATAATTTCATTTAATAATATTTTGTATTTTTGTCATGCAATGCTTCTTTGAAATCAAGAGTTGACAGTACCCACACATTCCGTTTACGAGTACCTACTTCGTTCTGAAAGTACCCGTTGCTTCAACTCCTATCGCCTACTCAGCAAGGCACTTGAGCGCGAGAGAAAAAGTGTAAATGTGGTCGTAAATATGACGAAGTAGAGACCCCAGCCAACCATGTATAGCTGACAACCAATGTTTCATCCCCGAGCTGAAGACTTGACTGTGGAACTGCTTATTCTCCAGAGAATGTCGCGCAAAAGGACTGAAGAGCCTAGAGCCACCACCTGTACCTGAAAGCGCCCATCACCACTTTCGTACTAGCCTCCCGTCGTGATCTTCAGGCGGGAGGAGAGAAAAAAAAAAGTGCCCGTGCCAAAGATAGATATTATGGAGAAGGCTAATGCCGTGCCACCTGTAGGTATAGTAGTAGTGAGATACAGTCTGGTAAGGTATACAATCAACTTTTATTACTACAGGGCAGCAGGCTGAAACGGATACAGCCGCATGGGATCTTTGTTGCCGGTGACCCGGAGCATTACGAATCGATTTGCTCCAAACTTGTTCTTCTTCCTTGCTTTCTTTCGCTTTTTTAGCAAGGCGAAACAGGGGTAGCAACTGAAATCACGCTGTGCTTTGACCCCGCGTTATTAGCGAGTAATTACAAGGCCAGTATTGCATATTGCTTCTTGGACAGTAGTTGTGTGTCAACTTGTGGCTGTCCACCGTCCAATCGAGACTTGCGTGAATGGAAAATTAGGTGGCACTCGCTGTCTGCATTCTTTCTGGCTCAGGTTGACCGTAATGGGGTCTGGTGGGTGTCCACTGGACGGCAAGCGGTGGACGGAAAAGATTGGATGCGCTGCAAGTGTGGCGTGACTGGGGGCGGCTTTGTTTAGTATTCATTCTGGAGCTGTTCCGTGGGACTTGTACTTTTCTTCTGCAGGGCAGCCGCGTGTTGCTTGTCGTACAATGTGCCTGTTGAAGAGAGCTGAGTGTGGAGAGGCAGAAAAGAAGCGCCACTAGAAAAGAATTGGTATTTTCACCAATTGATGTTATTATACCTAGTACCTACCTATTGCAAGTACGTGGTACAATTCACTTGTATGTGCAGTAGTGTGTATATGCAGAGTAGTCTGTTTGAGCGCAGAATATATTTCATGTACTGTGCACCCAGCATGCTACGTGTCGTATTTAATTTGCCGTGCTGCTTCTTGTCATATTTCTTACACCGAAGTTTTGGGCTACCTGTAAAGTCCAGGCTGAGTAGTTGGTGGTGCTGTGCCTGTAACTGGCTGCCTTCTTTTTTTTTCTTTTTTCTCCGCTCATTTACTGTTTTTCTTACATGCTCGAATCATAAGCCATCGATATCTTGCCACATCCCACCGAGATATAATAGTCTGCAGGTGAAAGCGGTGGAGGGATCTGGATTTCGGAGCTAAGGCGGGAAGAGCAGCCGGTTTTCGCTAGCCGGCCAAGCTTTTCTGGCACTATTGGCTGCATTGTCGACCTGATTCTAGAGCAGCTAGAGCAGTGCGACCCTACCGTCGCCCTACGGCTGCATTGTGGCCATTGAAGCCGTTTAGCTTCAAGGTGCATTTGGCTGTTCATGCACGGTGGTGGTGGTGGTGGCTGGATGGTTGATGCAGTATATGATGATATGATGACTCACAGCAGATAACAATGTATGTCGACGGCTCATGCGCACTCTGCAGCCACAGAGCATCATTCACGAGAATGAAAAGGCTGAAGAGCTGAAAATGAAGAAAAATCTCTTTCTCCAATAGCTTGCGCATGTGGCTTGCTTCGGCCTCGCTACACTGTGAGATGCAATTAAACTCACCTGGCGCTATTAACGGGCTTCTTGTCCAAACTAGGCCAGGGGGAGGCGCCGCTCCTTCGCCTACTGGCAGTGGCGTCTTGGTAGCTCTCCCGTTTGCTGTGGCTTTTTTCGTCTTGGCGACTGGCCTGGAGAAAAAGAGAGAAGCGCACGAGCAGCCTCGCTGTAGGTACAATATCCTGTAGAAACGCACAAGCACGGCATCGTCTCCAATCGACACGCCAAGGCTCGTGCGGGCTTTTTCGCCCTTCCATCTCATCTTCTGCTGGCGTCGTCTGCCCAATCGCAGTGCCGCATACCCCGTACTTTGGCCCATCCCACGCACCACTGGCTGGCGCTGTGGTGATGATGCCCGTGCCCACGCCGCTAGCTGCGTGGCCTTGCACGCTTTAGGCGCTGCGCACACCGTCGATGGCGGGGCGATTGCTCAAACCAGGAGCGCGCCTGCCTTGGCAGCTCCCGGCCTGTTGCAGGTCCGCGTCGTCCCTTCCCTCTTTGCCTATCTAAGGCCCGGCTGCTCCATAGCTGTTGCCAGTACTAATGGACTCTTCCTCCGGGTCCTCTTCCCTTTCCCTTGCACATCTTTGCTCTTTTCATCCGCTCGTTTGATCTGCATCGTTGTGTCTTCCCTGTAATTTCAACGTCCTGCTTCGCTAAGCTCGCCTTGCCTTGCCCTTCCTTCTTGCCTACCAAGGCAGGTGCTTCGTGCCAACAATTGCTTCGGGCTTCAATTTCTCTCCTTCTTCCTCGCGCCATTGCTTTCTTCCAAGCCGCTTCCGCCTTCCTAAGAGGTGTCTGTTTTCTGGTTCTCATATCGTGAGGCAGAATAAACGGGGGGTGGTGGAGGGACTAGACAGCAAGAAGAGCTTTGTTTGGTAGAAGAGGACGCAGTTTCGGGAAGTTAGGAAAAAAACGGACAGGTGACCCCTGGGTAAACCACCAAGCAAAACAGAGGAAGCATTGTCATCGCCTTCAGCTGCTTCTTCCGAGTCCCGGAGCTCACATCAACCAAGTCTCCCTCTTAGCGCCACGAGAACGAATCCGACTTACACGCACTTTGATCTAAGCCGAGCAATGATTGATGCAGCACGATAACCAGTTCCGCTGACAGACTTTCCACCAAAACTTACTACTCAATCTCGGCTGTGACCCGATTTGTGGCGCCGGCTTGGCCTCGTGTAAGCTTTGTCGAAAAAGAAACGTTGAAGGCTGCGTGCTTCGATCGAAGACGCCAACGAATACCACGATTTACTTGAATATCATCTTCAGTCATTACCAATCTATCACAATGTTTAATCAACTAATATCCGCCGCTGTCGAGCGTTCCAAAACCAATATATCAACACGCCGATCGTGCCAGATGCGCTTCGCACTTCTTATCATCGCATTCTTGGCGACCCTCGGCTCTGCTGCCACAGTGCCAGCGCGTGCCACTACTCGTATTCCAACGCTATTAGTCGATACTAGTCCGCCGCCATCTCCTCAATCTTCGGAGGAATTGCTTGATATATTTCCTGCCTATATTAGCGAGCCTGAGTTACGGCATGTCGAAGAAGTGGAGAGTGATCAGAGCAGCGATGCTATGCTACGCGAAAATGGAGAGATGAAGAGAAGGAATGCAAAGGCAGCTCCCACCGCCGCAACCACGACGCTGTCAAAGCCCACTAGCGCCGCATTGGCAACACTATCTCCAACATCATCTCCGTTGCCAGAGCCATTCGATAATACGCCAGCCTCTGCCTTTCAAAGTTCAGGCTCAACCGACGCATGCCCCAAGTTCATATCGGGTCTTCTATCGAACCCAACTTTCAAAAGCTGCTATCCGCTCTCCATGATGCTCCAGGTGAGTTTTTACATTTTCTGCCTTACAGATGTGGAAAACGCCAACGTAGGTTTGAATCTCACTGACTCGTATATACTAGTCTTCAACTGGGTTCTTCCAAGCCGAAAAGTCACTTCTTAGCATCGTGCAGGTGTTAGACGCAACTTGCAAAGCTGACTCGTCGACTTGTGCAACGTTCATGAATCAAGCCGCGACAAACCTCACCATGGCTGGTAATTGCAAGACTGAGGTTGAACAAAATCAGACTCTAGTTCTTCAAGCATACGACGGTCTACTGGCTTACAAGACAGTATATGCGGCGACTTGTCTCCAAAATCCTACTTCGAGCCAATATTGCTTTGCAAACGCTGTCACCAATCTCAACACGCCATCAGATGCCTATCTCTACTTCTTGCCCTATGGCATAGCCTTGCCCGGCAGCTCCAACCCATCGTGCAGCTGGTGCACCCAGCAGACCATGGATATATATTACTCCGCCTCTGCAGTCCGCAGCTCACTAGTTGCCGGTGTCTACCAGGCCGCAGCGCGCCAAGTAAACACTTTGTGCGGCCCCAATTATGTCAACGGCACTCTGCCACCAGCTTCGTCAGGAGTCCATGCCGTACGACCAGCCATATATGCGACTACATTGGCCGCCCTTTGTGCTACACTCGTTACTCTTGTTTCGGCCTTGTAGGCCATTACTCATTAACACCGCTTGTTCAAGATGGTAAATAAATCGATCAAGCATATTGCATATTAACACAAACGGTCCTATTATTTGGATATATTTCCCCCATTTTAAACGTAATGTTTTCAACGATTTCAGTACATACGAACAACAACGCATTATTATTTAATACCATCTTTATATACACCATTCCAATATTTGCTGACCTCTATCACCACACTTGAGGTCCCCATTCAGCGCACTCTGTTTTGATGTGCTGTTGTCTGTCTTGGCTTTGCTTTTCTTTTTTGAAATATTGGAGCTACATAGTTTTTGTCCTTTCCAGGCTATCTATATACATTGCATACACATATACTCTTACATATTTACTGTTGGGAAAAAGTACTGGAATTTCCAGGTACATCAACATTTGTTGGGAGGCAGACGAGGAGGACTTGGTCAAATTGGCAGGATATATCTTGGATACTTACATACTTAGATAGGTATCAAGGATAGAAGAACATTAGGTCCTATATACTAGAAAGTTGTCAATCTTGTCAACGACTAAAATCCTTATACATTTTAAGATTCAAATCGAAATGAGAACACGTGCTTTTATGCGACCGCGTTTGAGCAGATGCAAGTTGTCGAGCAAATGGCGCGTTGATAGTCGCTGAAGCAGTACGTTTGACCTGGTAATTCTGAGATTGGTCTTGTTAAAAGGATCCAAGTTTGAAGATCATACTACAAGGGTAAAAGGGTGGATTATGAGGCGCATCATGTACAGACTATGGAGACGATATTGTGCCAAGGTACACATACTGTGTTGAACTTTGGATGAAAGGATGGGCCGCGAAGACAATGTTGTGATACATTATCTCTTTAGCTATACATGTGGATGGATAGACTACGACGACGAATCTATGTTAATTAAACTACACATGTTATCGCGTAAGTAAATAGATATTCTGCGAAGACGACTTTGTGTTAAATCGCATCTATCACATGTACGTAGACACTCATTTCATCACTTGCCATCCTCTCGAAGAAGTGATATCAAGAGCCACGCCCATGTCACCATAATACATATGTTTAGGTAGGTAGATTGCTCAACATAGAAAATGACCATACTGTATGATAAAGAATACTGCCATTTAGCACCATTGTTGAGAGCTGAGACAATACGGCAAAGGATTTCATAAAACAGCTTCCACTGTCTCGTTGCCAACTCCGGGCTAGTCCTTCACTGTTTTGGCTCTTGAGAGACACGGGACACAAAAGGGAGTGTCCAACCAATCATTAACACCTATTACTGTAACAGGGGCTAAGAGTATTTTTTCGTCATCGTGATAGTCCATGTGACACTGGTCCCAGAGAAATAAGGAGCGAGCAGGCTACTACATCCCTCCTTTACCGACAGACAAACGTACTACTAGCCGCGGCCACGCAAGAAGCTTCACGCGCCGGCACGGCAGTCGGCTTGACGGCCCAACATGCAGCGATATATGGGCCTGTCAAGTGAAACTGCCGTCTTCTTGAGCACTAATGCAGAAGGGCTGATGCTAGGAAACAATGCTCCGTAAGACAAAAGCCATCGCTTTTTCGTTAACGTTACGTTGGGGCGGGTAGTCACGACGACACTGTTCTCTGGTCGACGAATGAATGTCTTTTGTCCTGCCAACCAGCCGCACCGGCCGCACCATAATTGTCCCCCCCCTCCTCATCGGCTAATATACTTTTGGTCCAGCACAGCCAAAGGGCTGCCGTCAAGTTGACAGGTCATCATTGCCGAGTCAAGCACGAGGCATGGCGCGCGCGAGTGCAGCTGGGCGCAGGGCAAATGTCTCGTCTCAAGCCGCTATATCATGCAAGGGAAAACAGAGCCCAGCCTGCTAGACCTGGCTGAAGTGAAGCGCCCCCCCTCTTCATGGTGAGATAATAGTCTGCTGTCAGAGGTTCCGGCTTCCAGACCACCTGTTGGTGGTGAATGTGAATTTGATACATGGCAACTAACCATCTCCCAGCCGTCCGTAATTCAAATGTGGACTTGAGAAAGCGAGCACCGAGAAGCGAGCGGATTCAAGTGGATAACAGCACGCCTGATGTGTGCCACGGCATCTATCCGGGATCAGCAGATCTACTTGACGGGCTCTTATCTTTTTTGGCACGTTCGTGTATAAACGTTAGATTGAGAGCAATCAACGCTGGTCGTTTAGAAAGGCCATTCTGTATACAATTCAACTATAGACTTGTTGAATATGATGATGCGACTTTAAGGGAGAACGAAAAGCTGGAATAATTTCCCATAATGTATACGCCGTAGGTAGTCCAGCGGACTTTTCATACAGGCAGCGGAATAGGGGCTTTTTTGGACCCCAAGAAGCTGAGAGAATAGGAGCAGACTGCACTTGCGGGCGCTGTAAGCAAGCATCTCACACACCTCAGTATTGTCTTGGGTTACCAAGTCGTCGTTTTCGTGGCTGGTCAGCGCCACTGGCAGCCCCATGAAGAAACTTCTCGACGCTTCGATTCAGGGTTTATTAGGGCCAACTCGCCGCGCGGTTCGTTGGCTGGTTGGCGGCTGCTTTATTAAGCCACTCAAATAATGCTCGCATGCAAGGGAGACAACCACGCCATTTGGAAAAGGGCGCTGCCAGTGGTTTATAGCTAGCCATTGGCAGATGACCTTGCCATTGCGTGGAGCACACATGTATACACAGAAATATCATGCCAGTTATAGTGTGCGTAATGTACGCAATGCTTTGCCTTCATGACCCCTCGAGTCATGTCGACTTGGTAAAAAAAACTCATAATCTTCAATGTGAAGTCTTGGCTGATCTGCGGTGAGCCAGTAGGCATGGTCATTGGTCACCGAGGCAGTATTCCAAGTTTAACAAGTGCCATCTTGTCTTGAGCGGTGGGCTGATATCACCAGTAGTACCTAGTAGTATTACTACCACATACACACGTGTGCGTGTGGTTTTATGGGTGAGACATGCGGATGCACCAGGAAAATTTTCGTGGAATGCATGGAAAGGGGGAAAGACAGCGTGCGGCCATTTCACATAACCTTCCACATGGGAAAAGGGCGTGTGAGACATGTCGATATCTCTTCATGCCGTCTTTGGTATAAAGACAAGCAACTTGACTTTACGGGTTGGCTGTCATGGCACGCTTCTCCGCCTAGAACTCCACAGCTAAACAGTCCCTGGCCCGTAGCCTGCTCGAAAGGGTCTCTTTTCACGCCGGGGAAGACGGGAGGCGGGAAGCGGAGGACGGGACGATGCAACGAAGTATTCTGGACAAGGCTACCCAGCAAACCTCGAAGAGGCCAGCCAGGGGCCACATTATGCGCCCTCGGACATACTTTTCCACTTGCAGGCTGCACTGGGATGGAGCACTGCTCCATGCCTGTCTTTTGTCTACCTGTGATGACGGGGATGATGAGCCAGCCCGGGCAGAACAAATCCACGGGCCCGGTTCTTGGCAACTAGAGTGAAGACGCGAGCGCTAACGGGGAGCAGCCAGAAGGGATGCCCGCGAGGAGGAACAGGAGCATGAGCAGGAGCGGGGAGTAGGAGCATGAGCAGCTTTTGCAACGAAAGCAAGGCTCGTATTGATAGCTCCCGCTGTCGAGCTGCCACAAGGTCAGTGACTCATGCCGTCTCTGTTGGGCCAAGGCCCAGTTCTAAGACACTGTCTTTCAGCCTTGTCCAAGCTGCAAGAGGGTGTCTCGGCCATTGCCGGAAACTAGAGCGCTGCCACTTGGCCGCTCCTCGCATAGACACAACGAGCCGTCATGCAGAGCTCGCGCAGTTCCCCGGAGCAAAGAGAGATCAGTTGACTGCTCATCTGCAAATACAGAGGCTGGCCGGAGCCTGCAGAAGCAACAAGCGCCGCGTCCAGGCGGTGCGGAGTCCCGGCGAGTCAAGCGAACATCACCATTCGGCGGCAAGTCATGGCTGGACGTGGTCAGCAGCTCTCTGGCCTGCAGGTAGGTCCTGTATATCAGTGCCTACCGAATCGATCCAGTCCCAATCTGCGCCGAGCTGCGATGCCCGATACACCTGCGTGCTGTGGGAAAGGCCAGTGGCGGAGCTCGTCGATGCCATCGGCTCGCCGTTACTGGATGCTTCGTATAATAGCGGTTCCTGGGCGATTGCCGGGGCCATTAGATAAGCAGCCAGGCCTCTTTAAGACAGGCAAATGCTCCGCGGCCGAATCCACCAGCGCCGGCACCTTGCTCAGTACCTTATTTGGACAGGACTGCGATCAAAAGCAAAGGGCTGGATTGGCGGTGAGAGGCCGGAATAGAGTCCGATGACGAGACGCAAGTGCCGGTGGATGGCCAGGCAATCTGGCGTGGCAGCAAAATGCACACCAGGTGGGGACGGCTAGAGCCTGGCAGTAGCACGAATCTGCACATCTGGGCACTAATGAGGCCCGCTCTCGCCAATGGAGGAGGCTGTCAGTGAAGCAGAGGCGATCAGAAGGGATCTCACTGTCTGGGCCGTAGTTTGGAATGGTGTCAGAGGTGCCGGTGGTTTTGCTGTGGGTGGTTCTCGCAAGGGCGTCGTGGTGCGATGCCGTCGTGAGGAGGATCAAGATGCAGCTGCTGCTTCAGCATCATGCAGAAGGAAGCAGCTCCGGCTCTCAAACGTAGCATCTGCGAGTCCCCTAGGCATGGAACCTACTCCATGGCATCATATCATGTCCATTGAGAGACTCGGTAGAGGTGGCTCTATATTTAGGTAGTAGTGCTGCGACGGCATATGCACGGTACTAATCTGGTCTGTCGCGACATGGAAACAGGTTCAGCTCGACGGACGATATCCGATGCTCCTCGCAGATGCGCAATCCAAGCCTGCCCCTGGCTTGTACAGCACGGGTGCAGGTCGCGTATCATACTAGTAGTACTGTAGTGTAAAAAGGCTGCGAGTAGCCTTCATGCGAGCAGCTTCCTGGAGTCTACAAGTACTTATAGTTGAAACAGGTTCTCGAACCTGCTGGGTGTCTGCCAATCATTT